GGATAGCCGAATAGCGCCATCAGTTTTCAGAATTATCCTTACTTTTACCGGTTTTATTGCTTTTTTTGCAAAGTTTGAGCTACGGGGCTGGGGGTTGTTGAGGGAGGTAGGTGGGCATGCTAATTATTAACACAGCGGGAATAGGGAATTGCATGTAGAAGTGGGCACAATGAAAGGTTTTATAGGGATATGAATAAGACCTTAATCATAGCATTGACAGGTCCAGGTGGAGCCGGGTAAGCCAGCTAGTATTCCATATTATGGCATATTTTGCTACATATCACTAACTGCAATCTTCAGTAATCCAATAAACTCTGCTGTAGATGGTTTGTGCACGGAATAACGGTTAAACGATGGAAGAGACAGATGACGAGATAAAAAGCAGCAAGTGTACTCCATCAGTGGTCCCTAACTAGTATAGATGAAAAAATTTAAATTAATGAATGAATGAGTATCGAATAAATCCGAAATAAAAAAATTTTGAATAAACGAATATCGATGAAATTCGAGAATCAAAAATTTTCGAATGAATGAATCCCGAATGAAATCGGAAAATCAAAATATCGAATATCGATTAAATTCGAACGTTGTAAGTCGAGTTTCGAATAAATATTCGAATGATTTATCCACTATCTAGAGCAACCATGTGTAAAACATGCTGACATACCCTGCTAAAACCATTTCATTCATAATCAGCACCCTCACACCCTATATACCAGCTACCAGCCCGTAGCTCAAGCTTTCCAAAATCGATAAAATCAATAAAGTTAGTTTCTATTCATTATCAGCACCCTCATCTACCCCCTCCCCCCCACATTACCAACTCGCAGCCTTGTAACTCAAGTTTTTTCCAAAAATCAAAATAGACTGAGTAAATTCCATCCATAATGAAGCCGTAAAATAAACATGTCATTCGCGAAAAATCTCTGAAAATAGAATTGAGACAATTGTGCAATACAGCTTTTACAAGCAAGAATGCTTACTAGTGAGGATGTTTGCGGACCAAAACCATGAGCAAGCCAAAGGAAGAGAAACAGGCCTGTCAACATATTTCCTTCTATATATGAACTCGGACCGTGAGCTTGAATTCGATAGCTGTTTGTTTGCTGATTCGGTGCCAGTAGCAGTGCGAACTATTTCATTGATCGAAAAAGCAATCAATCAAAATCGGCAGCTAATTTCAAACTATGTGAATTTCCATACAGTCTTGACAGTTGGCTCTGCAACAAACTCGAATAATTCGGATACGAATTTCATTTTTTCGAAACCTCGTCTTTTGATTATCCGAGTTTTCGAATGTTATTCGAATCCTTTTTTTAATTATTCGAGTTTTCGAATTTTATTTGAAATCCCGTTTTTTGATTATTCGAGTTTCAAATATCATTCGAAAATAGAAATACTCGAATATCGAATTTTGGATGCGAATATATTCGAATGTTTTATTCAATAATCGATTTTTCATTCAATTCGGATCCAAGTATGCTAGCTAAGATCAATTCTGCATCGACCGGTGACCGAAGGACGAGAAAAAGCGCGCCTCATAAAAATTTTGATACGCTACTCCCACATACCGACTGGCAGCCGAAATTTCCGGCCAGTGATCGCGCCTATACCAGCCGGTGGTCGAACCATAGGTGCGATAGGGAAAGCAGGGTCTCTCCAAGTTCGACCTAGAAAAGTAAGGGGGTATCTGAGTCTTATGGTGGGTGATGACATAAGCTTAAATACCGAGTGGGACTGGGGTATAAGGGGGAAAATAAGTGGTACAATGGTGTAGTATGAAGAAATTCTTGATGCTTTGTTCTCGAAAGGTCATCTAACAGAGATTTTTTGATGAGGAAAACTTTCATTTTTTCAGATTAAATGCCATGTATATCGAGTAGAGGGGCGCTAGGAAGATAGAGACGGTCTACTTCGAATTCCTGTTTCGTGGGCTTTCTAAAAAATATATAGGCTGTTAGGTGAGAAAGTCTGTGGATCTTCAAGACGGAGTGGAGTATTTACTATAAGTTTGCTCGACCTCGCCCCTCAATGGCTTGGCCTTCATGAGTCGCCGGAGCTAGACTTTTTTGGAGCTGGAAAGCTTAAAACCGACAGATATACCACTTGATAGAGCACGAGGAATCGATATAGACTTTCTCTTTTTTCTAGCTCTTCTACGTGGCTGTATATGAAAAATTTTATTTGATTACAATATCAGCTAATTTGGTAAATTATTTTATGCTTCATTCTTGAAACAGAAAGGTATTCTTCGAGGCTTCGCGTGTGGATGGAAAGCTCTGAAGGGATCTAAATGCTCTCTTATTTTCTACCATGCTCTTCCGAAAGAAAATTCTTCTCAGTGAGTGTATACGCTGCTGTATAACGAAGGGCAATATCTTTAGGAGCGAACGCGGATTCATCAGCCGCAGTGCGCATGAGGCGCAGGATTTACAACGGTGAAGATACGCGCGCACCGCGTTCGCGCCCGCTCAAGTAATACTGCCTCTGCGCCTTCGACATGCAGTAGCCTATAGACCCATCATTGGGCAGACTAGACTTCCTACTCTTGCAAAATCCTTCCCTGCGACGACATATATTCATTCAATGTCATCCTCCCAAAACTTTTAGGATTATTTCGTTATCAAAACTAAAGCACTCTGAGTGAGACAGTAAGTCTCAAGCTTGCGTTTATCTCAGCAAACGCTGTTCAAAAAAGCGTCGTGTCATGCACTGACTGAGAAGAAGCAGCAGCTGGCGGTCCCAAACAAAATGTGCACATTTATCAAGGTTTTTTTTATTCTGCCATTATGCCTTGACTCTAGTCTCAACTCGGTGGGCGGATCATCCAGATGCCGGCCCAAAAGTGAGGGTGGGGGGGGGGGGCAGAGAAATTGCTTCACCTATCGCACCTATGCGCCGCAGTCTTTGCGTGCGAATCGCCTATAGATGACCCGTCCACATGTGTGCAAGGCCCAACTCCTAACAATTCGTTTCGGTTTCGGGCACAAGTCATCTTGAGCGTCTTGATACAGGTTGCGGTTACTGAATAATCCTGATTCCACCTCTAATTCTGACGCACTCGTTTATGCGCAACAAATTCCACATTATCTCGGTGGTCTTTCAAGTGGACGTTTCAAAGTTCAAGAACCCCCAACCTTTCTGTTCTTTTTGCCCATCTTTGGTCTTTTCTTTCATCATACAACTGGCCCATTTTGTTTCTTAAGACGTACTCGCTGAATCTAGTAGAAACGAAAGTTGCCTTAGGTTGGAGCCGGATCTCAAGTCAATACTGTTTGAACATGGTCATCTTCTAAAGTCATTCTTCCTTTAGTGCTCTGCGTGCTGTGTAACGCCTCCGTAGTTACCAGTGAGTCCAGATTTCGGCTGCGCAACATAGAGCTGGGAGAACTACAGCATCAAAAAATAAGCGCGAGCTCCGGGAAAGCGAGATTGTTTGTGACCTCTCTCAGAGTTTCGAATGCTGCCTCTGCTGCTTTCTTCTTCTTCTGAGTTTATTCTTCATGTCATTGCTCATGTAATGGTGCGTCTTATGGATTCCAAGTGGTAAACTTTGAAATGAGATGGATTGCAGAATCAAGGAAAAGATCCATTGTCTTAGGGTTCCTTCATACTACGCCGCGCACGCGGCGTGCGCCGTATGCTCACGGCAGCAGAGCTCCACTTTTTGATGTATCTCTATATTTGCTGCACATTCGTGTCCCTCAATAGTGTTCCTTTACATTATGCATTTCTTCCTCTCTTTTGCTTTGTTTATCCTGTCTATCCTTTGTCTATTTAAATGATTGATGGAATGACTTAGGTTGTTGTACTCCCTCTACTTTTGAGTCTCACATTTTGTATCGTAACTGACTGCACATTGCGTCATCTGGTTGTATATTGGTAGTATATGGTTGTATGGTTGTATGTTGTATCTGGTTATATTTGCGCTGTTAACATCTCCTTACAAACACATCACTGGATGGAAAGGTTTCTCTTCTTCATACTGTTAGACTGCAATTGCAAATTTGATGCGCCGTTGTTGCCGCAGTTTGTTTTCTTCGCCCATAAAACATCATTCAAGTTTCGGCGCTGATTTCAGCTACATCATACAGTCAATGCGGCAAAAAAAAAAGACTCGGTGGTTTTACTTTCTCTTTGGGTATTAATCTCACTTCATATCTGTCGTTCTCTTCAAAGACACCTCACTGTGTGTGGCTATCCTTCTATATCTGACTAAAGAAAGTTGTCATGGATGATAGAAAATAACAGTGATCATGAGTAGGGGTATGAGTATTAAATCTGATAAAGTAAAATCTCCTTGTAAAGTTTTATTTATGTTCTACTGTTAAAAGGGTGTACAACACATCTTGTTGATTAGAAGACGATTTACAAATGTAATAAGCAAGATGAGTAGCTGAAAGAAAAGTAGGCAGCAAGGTTGCCTTTCTTGGTCGTGTTGAGTATGTACTCTGACTAAAGTCAGCGCCGGAATCCGACGTATAGTGATTCTTATCGTTTTCGTATCGTCACAGCTCCGCCATTTCCTCACACCGTCTCCGCAGTAACTTAAAGCGTGTTGTTTTCAGATGAGCGCAAGTTGGCGTGACCTGCTGGCCGAGGAAATCGAAAACGAGCTCGTATTATGGGATTCTAATCATAGTGATTATTATCGAAAAGATAAAAAAACGCCGCGTGGGATCGAGTTTGTAGTCGGCTTTGCGAATAGGGTTGCGATTGTGTAGGTGAGTTTATAGCACGCATTAGTACGGAAGTGCAGAAACATCTTCTTATTATAGTGGCAGATTTGAAAAAAAGGAATGGAAATCCATGCGAGACGCCCGCAACAAGGATCGAATTCGACCACTATCTGGATCGACAGCACGAGCATCTGGGTCTGCAGCAAGGCCGATCCACGGAATGCGCCGAAATTTATCTTTTTTAAATACAGCTAACGCCTCAGGGTAATCTTTTTTTCAGCTTCCCAAAATTTAAATTACAAACATGTCTTTCAGGCCCGAATGACGAATATAGCGGACGACGACGACGACATCGATTTCATTGATGAAAATGGTAAGAGTATTTTACCTTATTCCCTGCTAAGCCAGTCTTCTTAGATCCGCCATCACCTGCCTTGTTTGGGCGAAAAAAAGATGAATGGACGAGAAAGCTACCACTGGGACCATCCTCTTCAAAGAACGTTGAAGACAGCAGGAGAGGGGGGGATGCGGAACCGAGAAGTGAGTCTTCTTTTCCACTGAAGGAGAAAGTCCTCGCAGAATCGACTCCAACGAATTCGAGAAGCACCGGTAAGTAGATCCTCTCGTAAAAGGCAGTATTTTGCTTTTCAATTTTATTTTTTCAGAAAAAGCAGCCGTCATCCAAGCATTGATGCAATTAAGAGCCGCATGGCAGAACTGTCCGCTGACGGTGAATTTATGCTCTTCGATAGGCGTAGGCGTCATACTTTGTAACGTTATGACATTCATAGTTTCTTTTTAGGTGCGTGCATAGGACATATATTGAAGAACGAGCCTAAAGAAGAAGCCAGGTCAAAAATGGTTGCCATTCTAGAGCTGGCCGTCAGTCCGCCCAACTCGCCGCAGGACGCATATTGCGAGACTGGACCACCAGCTTATGAAGGAAGGTATTTGGAAGAAGACGCTCTTGTACCGCCGGTTGCACAAAAGGAATCTATCCAGTTGTTGTGCGGGTACTAGATTAGATTTCATTTTTCCAGTGCTTTCTTTCTCTGATTCTTTGTTATGTCGAGTATCATGATTTCACAATCTGTGGCCGCATCTGTGAAGCATTTTTTTGTTTTTTTATTCTACCTACAGTTTGATTCTGAACTGATATGAAGCCGGTATTATGCTTACGTGTAATAAATGCCAGTGTTGTGTAATAATCATTAGCTTGCTATCACTTGTTTATTAGGTTACATCTGCTGACTCCCATTGCTGTATCTCTTTCCCGATCGATGAAGAATGTACTTCAGCGGGGTCAACCCTTCATCAATGGTTATGATGTTTTCTTTGTAATTTCTTATCAGTAAAATTGTTAAGTGAAGATCCGTGAGAGCTTTAACTTCATTATACAAGTTAGTTGGTCTCAGCATGTGAGATTTGTTCAGAGGCGATACTGCACAAGAGACTGCAAGCGGGAGCTTTTTATGTTTTATGTTTGCTAATGCACGCAGTGCCAAGTTTCGAGTTTTTGTGATATCAAAGTTTTTGGGAAGAAAAAACTTTCGAGTCATGGGGCTTCATACAAGTCCGCACTTTGTCACTTCTTTTTCTGGTTCTTTGTTTTTATCACTGACGGCTTTCAGAATCGTGATCGATCATGGGGCGAGCCTGACATTTTTATAGCTTGGGTAATATCTCATGCTGTCAATTATCTGCGGTTAAATGGTGCACAGCTTCTTCGGCCTTTTTTGACTTGAACTTTTCATGGCTTCTTTTTTTTAAAGCACTAGCTGGCTTACCCGGCTCCGCCGTATGTTCCGAATAGAAAATTCCATTTCTGAACCGATCCGGACCAAACTTGGCACACATACACTACGGGCCCCGGCGGGTGTCATAGGCTACTTTCCGTCATCGATCGATATCGATTTTATCGATTTTTTGCAAAGTTTGAGATAGGGGGCTGGAATTTGGCACAGGGGGGTAATCGAGCATGCTGATCACCCCCACGGGGGTGATCAGCATGCTCGATTACAGACAGACAAACAGACATTCAGCTTTATATATAAGATTACTAATGCAGTATTACGTTAGGGCAACAGCAGTGGCGATCTGTTGAATTTGAGTGAGCTAGTGACCATTGCGGTGGTATTGTGGAAAACTTATCGTATAAGAGCCACTTGCATCATTGATGCTTTCGGCATTCTTCACAGTAGTTTCAGATTGATTAAGATTCAGATTACGATTCAGATTGACTCTGCCTGCGAATCGAATGTTGCTCTGTTGCCTACGATTCGGTTTGCTTTCAATGACATGAATAATTCCACTGAAACAGATCGAGAAGAGGAGAGTATTATACTTGACGCAGGTAAGTCTTATGAGCATGACATGACTGCAGTCTTTACCTGTTTTTTATTGATTCTTGTCTTCTTCAATTTTAGTTTCATTTCTCATTTACTTTCATTTAACTATTTCTTTTAATGATTCTCCTCAATTTTTTCATAGTGGCTTCTTGACCTTTTCGGTATCTGAATACGTCTACTAGAGATTATCCAGCATTTAAATCATGCCGCTTACTTCCCACTCGTTTCTTACAATACAGTCTATTTACGGTACCTATTTACGATATGGCGGTACGGTACGGGTTTACCTCATTAGGTGAGTCTTTGTGATAAACACAGTTCGTCTTGTCTGTAATAATGGACCAATGGACTTGTAAGTTGTATTGTTGGTCATACTATCCGATCATATTTTTCAAAGTTCTCTTCTTTAGTTGCACTGATTCCTATGGAACTATTCATGCTTCTTCTTTTTCGCTTCTTCGCATGATAATTCCTTCACCATAGTCCCTATTGCCTTTCTAATGCCTTTGCCACATTTTGCGCTTGCTTCTTCTCTGCCATCAACTGTTTCTACATACCTGTGGTATTGTGAATCTTTTGGTGTGCAGAAGGAGAAGCAGCGGGTACCTTTTTCCTTGCTGGTCGCTTGTAGCGCAGTTCTTACTTTATTCCCCATAAGCCATCCTGTCCATGTCGTCGTATGCGGTTTCCATTTACTGCCCCTTCATCAGCAAACGCTGCCTCTAAATGTATTCACTCACCCTTACTTGTCTCGAAATCGGCCAATAAATGCTCGTTTCAACGATGTTAGCTCAATTTTGTCAATGTGCGCTATCAAAATACTCTTGAAGTTTTTGTGTATTACAGATGAGTCTCCCAGTACTCTCAAATCTTCTCCAAAGCCTACAATTTCTATACGATGCATTAGACGAAAGCTCATCGCCGTCTCCGTCTCCGTCCCAGTCCAACCGTCCACGGCGAGAATACGTGCGTCGAGAACATGTCCCCTTCCTCAGGACTCGTTCTCAGATTTTTGACGAGTACTTAATCACCCGGAGACCTCAGGCGTTTTTGCGATTCATCAAGATTCTCCCTGACGAGTTCGAGGATTTCTATGAAAGTGGTGGTCGTTTGGAGCATTTCCGCACACACGCCGGCCCCATAAGTGGACGACAAATGCTAGTGATTTCTCTCAGGTGAGGAGTCGGTACTCTACGACTCATGGCTACTTCGCAGTTTACGTGGTATAATCAGATATGTCACACAAGGAATGTCTTTTTCCACGTTTACTTTAGTCATTGGAATAGGGGTCTCGACAGCTGCAGCTATAGTAAAGGAGGTTACCGAGGCAATTCTAATTGGTATGGGCTTGAAGATTTTAATACTTCAGTAACTTCACAATTTCAGTGCTGCATAGACGAGCTTTTCCCCGCCTGACACGTGGTAAACTGAGGCTGGTTGCAGAGATGACGCAGGAAAGGTTTGATTACCCAAGAGCTGTAGGATTTCTTGATGGAAAACATATCCATATAAAGGTTTTACTCCATAAGCAACTTCTAACATCTCTGAAAAATGCCATTTAGAAGCCTAAGCGCTCGGGCAGCGTACTATAACTACCAGCACTACTACTCCATCATCCTATTGGCTCTATGCGACTGCAAAAACCGCATCATGGCCTATGATGTGGGATCTCCAGGCCGCCTCGGCGATGCTGGAGTATCTCGCTCCTCGAAGCTCAAGGTCCGTTTTGTAATCAAAAGTTTGGTGTTCTATATCAAGAAGTTTCACAGAGGTTTCTGGATACCCACGACGGTATATTTCCACCAACAGAGGACCTCGGTATCGTCGGTCCCGTCCAGTACCATATCTTAGTAGACGGTGGTTTTGGACAAGGACTCAGGTTTATTAGGCCCTATACAGAGAGGGAAGCTACCACAAGGGATAAAAGGCTGTTCAATCGGAAACTGAGCGGGTAAAGCTATAGCATATCAAGCTAATTCAAGAACTATTCGCGTAACACTTCAGTGCTCGACAGAAGCGACCTTTGGCCTGATGGCTCAGCGCTTCCAGGTATTGGTAAGTCGCATAAATCTAGACCCCATACAAGCCCAGCGTCCTGTCGTTTCTTTGATGGTAGTCCTCCCTTCGTTTATGCCAAACGCCATAGAGAATCTCAATATTACAGATTCTCCACAATCTGCTGCCTCGCAGACAAGACGCTTTGGCAGAAAGGCGAAGGTTCGGAAAGGCGCCACGCAATTCCTACGACCCTCTTCAGAGAAACGAGGCAGGTGCAGCAGGTGCACATGCTGGCGTAGAGGCAGCTCATACAGCGAGAAATCGTCTCACACAGTATGTCGCAGAAACATACTTGCAGAGATGAACTGATGGCTTTTTCAGATTCTTATTTGTGAAGTATGATGTAAAAAATTGTACAAAAGATTCATAGCCTTTGTATCTATGCTCAAATTTTTTTTCTTTTTTTCTCATAACAAAAGGAGCATCGCTTTTATAACTCATAATTTAACTTTTCTTCGATATAAAGCAAATTACATCTTTAGCGGGCCAACTCTGCGTCACGGCAAGGATGGATATCTACTCCGTGGTTTCTCATAACATGATAGTTATCTCAATGTAATCTTTTTCTTCCACTACATTTTTGCTCAACTGACTTTGTGCAACATTTGGCTTTAATCTTCCCAAAACTGGGAAACGGTTTCCACATGGTGCTGTATTACTATTTGTGTTTTGCGCTTGCGTTTTTCTTGACAACCGTGTATATAGACTTCATCAATGATAGTGAGCCAATTCACAATAAAATCATTATTACCTATGAAGAAAAACACAGTTGAACAGCTTTTAAAGAAATGACGAAACATCCAAAATATATCGGCAATGACGGAGGCGGTAGGCACTACCAACACAGTACGCGGATGACAGTAGGAGACCATTCAGTCAAAGGCACTTACCGCCTAAAAATAAAACTTGACTGCAACATACTTTGAACCACAAACATTCTTGAAAGGAGAAATCAAGTAAGATGTCAATTTGCATGACTCACCAACTCACAGCATTTCCAAGTAGGGTTGGCTTCAGAGGACGAACCTGATCTCAGACTTCAAGCAATTCATCATAAGAGACTTTAAGCAGCAAAATACTAAAATCAGATGGATTGAAAGGGAGTCAAAGTTCTCAATTCTTACCTCTTGACAAATTCTCACAGAATCTTGCGCGATTCCCAGCAAAATCGAGTGCACAATCCCCCACGAACTCTGTAATACATGTAGAACCTAATGAAGCAGTACTGCAAAAAGTTAGTACATCATGAGTAGAAATAACCAAAGTAGAGCATTGACGAGCATAGCATCTACGCCAAACAGATGTGCAACGATGAGATTTGCTGAAGTGTGTGATATCATCTCATCTCTAGGCAATTCTGAAAAGTTCTAAGTCAGACATAACTAAGTCTGGTTAAAGCTGGAGCTACTAGAGCTCAGCTAATAGAGCATTGACGATATAGAGCAAACCAAGTTTATGAGATCAGGGCCGGTAGTAAACCTGTCGAAACGCGCAGCTCAAACTCAGAGTTAACTCAGAGTTAACTCTGAGTTAACGCGCACCTTTCGGGGACCATTAACACCTGCCTAAGCAAACCAAATTGGGGAAAGGGTTATATGGCAGGATGCCCCGCAAGACGTACTTTATGCCAAGTATGGAAACGTAGCGTAATTCGTTCCACGCGAGACGCTACGCGAGTTAACGCGCAGCTCAGCTGCGCGTTAACTCTGAGTTTGGTGCGCGTTTCAGGCTCGCGCGAAACTCGGAGTTAACTCCGAGTTTCGTTAGAGAAAGAGAAATAGTGCGTAAACGCAGAGGTCCAGAAAAAAGTCCTCCGGGGTAGATTTTGCTCCGAGTTGCATGAAGCATGATGGGGGTATCATGGTGCACCGTTGAACACAAAAATTTGAAATTTTCTAAAATTTTGGTCCCGGGGGTTATCCGACGCGCTGATCACGAATCCGATGCTCATTTTTCGCCATTCGCCCACATAAGGGGGTTACGGTAGGGATACGGTAGTTGGGCGAAAGTCACGAAATTGGCTGAAACTTGGTACACTGGGGTTATTTCGCATGCTGATCACGAATATAACATTCGTTTTTCGCTACGGGGCCACGGAGCGGGATTACGGTAGGTATACGGTAGTTAGACGAAAGTCACAAAATTGCTGAAACTTGGTACACTGGGGTTATTTTGCATGCTGATCACGAATATGATGTTCATTTTGAACTGCGGGACCATTTAGCGATGTTACGGTAGGAATACGGTAGTTGGGCGAAAGTCACGAAATTTGCTGAAACTTGATCTGGCGGGGTTATTCGCTGCGCTAATTCGAATATGATTATCATTTTTCACCGTGGAGAGATAGAGCAGGGTTACTGTAAGAATTTGGTGAAAGCCAAAGTCACATAACAGATTCAAAATTGGTTCGCTCCGTGGCGTTACGCGGTGTGTTGATTACGATCACATTGCGCGTTTTTCACTACAGCGGTGTATAGCGGAGAAGAGATACGGTAGACTACCCAAAATCACAAAATTTCATGAAAGTTGGCTTCGTGGGGTAATTCCCACGTTATCACGAATATCACAGCCGCTTGAAAATACCTTTCAAAAAGGGGTTTCGGTGGATTTACGAGGTAGATGGATAAAAAAATCTTACTGAGGACTTTTTTCAGAGGAAGTTTAGCTAAATATTTGGTTACCAGCGACGAGCGCACGATTTCCGTCCGGGGGGGGGGGCTACTAAATTTTTCAAGTGAAGGTGCGTGGCGTTGGTCCGCACTCAGACAATTTTTTGGGCTGCTTCTTAACGTTTTTTGCTGGCCCATACCCCTAAATTCTGGGAAAAGGGGGCGTGTCAGCAGCCACGCCCCAAAAATTTTTTTCACAAGGCTAATTCAAATTTCTAACATTTTTTAAAAGATAAATTTATTATTTTCAAGAACGAACAAGTCATTTGCACATTTTTATAACCCAGTAGGTGAATTTCAAAAATTTCGTGATCCATTCTCGGGGGGAGGGGAGCCTCCCTTTCGGTCCGCCACTGTTAGATACTTAATATTTCTTTTCTACTGCAAGACCATGCGATGGAGTTACAGTAGATGTTGTGGACTAAACTTATTGAACTGCTCAAAAATCGCCACTGAGTTCATTTGGCACTGCAATCATAAACATGCTGACCGTTCTTAATGAGGACTAACTTGCACACCCGGCTCCGCTCGGCCCTGTCAAAACGCTGTAATAAAGGTCCCATCCCTATCTGTACAGCCTTTCCCTGTGCCCACTTCTACACTTCTTTTCCTGTTCCCTGTGTTGTTTTCGAAATCAGCATCCCCACTTACCCCCTGTGCCAACTCCCAGCCCCGTAGGTGAACTCTGCAAAAATCGATAAAAATCGATAAAATCGATATCGATCGATGACGAAAAGTAGCCTATGACACGACCCTCACCTCACCCCGAAGTGTATGTGTACCAAGTTTGATCCAAATTGGTTCGAAAATAATTTCTATTCCGCACATACGTACAGACATACATACAGACACACATTCAGCTTTATATGTAAGATAATTACGGTGGGCATATACGAAAGAAGAGCGAAAATCTCAGTTTTTTTTCTTTTTTCAAAATCTCAATTTCGAGTCCCCACTTGAGTTGAACTTTTCTAGCAAAAAAATGATAAAAGGGAGCATTTTTTAAAATTATTTCTCATTTATTGTGTCAACAGAAACCTCGGAAAATTTTTTCGAAATATCTTATATTATTTAGAGGTATTTTGAAATTCTAACAGTCGATTTACGAATGATCTGTAGACTTTGTTTACTACGACTGTTTACTAATGTTTATCAGTCTATTTTCACAAAATAATGGTCAAGTTTACAAATTATAGATATGCTCATTTCAAAATTTTGGATGCTAACAGACTTTTGAATTTTATCAAGTATTTTAGCATATCAAAACTGTCTATGTCCATGTTTTATCCTGCTACTTCTTCAAGAATCTTTAGGATTTATTATGGCTAGGCACCAGTGGCGGATTGAGGGGCGGGGGGGGGGGAGTGAAACTTACCTACATGGACTGTGCAAATAACTTGTTTATCTTTATAAATAATCAAAATAATTTTTAGAATTTTTTAAAAATTCAAATTAGTCTTGTAAAAAAATTTTTCCGGAGCTTTTTTCTAGATTTTAGGGGCTATAGACCCGCAAAAGTTTTGAGATGCACCCCAAAAAATTTTTCAGAGTGCGTGGCTAACGCCACGCACCTTTACTTGAAAAAAACTTTTGCCACATCCCCCCCCCCCCCGGTGCCGAAATCCTGGGATCGCCACTGCTAGGCACCTCACAGGCAAGCCTACCGCCTCTCCACGTGTCTTGACATGTGAGATCTTGATTAGAGGGATACATTAAGCAATTGCAGCAAATCAACAATAGTGGTTCTTTAGCCTAGTGGTCTAGTAGTAGGCACTTTGCGCTGAGCAACGAAAGTTCGAGTCCCCACTTAGTGGCAGAGTTTTGCGGTGAAGCGTGTGGCGGTTCCTCAACAACTAGAGCGGAGCCTCAAGTAGTAGAACGAAACTCCGAGTTTCAGAAACGAAACTCGCAGTTAACTCTGAGTTTCAAAACGAAACTCACAGTTAACTCTGAGTTAACGCGCAGCTTTAAACTCGGAGTTTCGACCAGATTACTACCGGCCCAGATTTTTATAAAATGGTTTGAGCAACACCCTTCGCCATGACCTAGTTCCAGAAGGAATTCCTCCATTTTCTCATTTACATTGCATCTATCATACAGAAAGTAATTTCTCATTTACATTGCATCTATCATACAGAAAGTAATCAAAGCGCAAAGAAAGAGACATTTCAAAAAACCAGAGTCGTCCCTAAACAGCACTCCGTCAAGAAAAGTGTTCCGATGTGAAACTGGAAAAGGAAGCACGAAAACATAAATGTAGGAACTGAAAACTTGACGCACGTCAACGTAGGTACCCTTGTTGTCTTTATGTACTTTTATCAAATCTTCTTGCACCACATTCAACTGCTCCAGAGTGTAAGGATGTTCCGGTTCATTGATTCTCGAATAAGTTCGAAAACTTCCAAAGCATCAACAGGCTCTTCGACGGATTCACCCCTAAAAAAATCAGTAAACATGTGAACTCTTTGATTGCCAGTATCGTCATTTTACTCGTGAGAGTATGTAAAAAGGAGAGTAACGGAGAGAAAATGTCTACAACCTGCATTCACTCCGCATTCACAATGTTAACGTATCTGGGGTCAAAACTGTACAGAAATAAATGATGAAATGACCCTCGTGATGATAAGCAATTATAAAGATACATAAAAAAAGTGGAGCTCTGTTGCCGTGAGCATATTTCCATTGCGCTGCAGGGTCGTACACGGCGCACGCTGCATGCGCGGCATAGTATGAAGGAACCCTTAGTACAAACCTGGGTGGGGAAACGACAGAATTATGGAAGTCAAAAAGCACCAGCGCTACCGTCCCAAAATTAGGGTCGAACTAATTCGATGTCCGTAGATGCATCATAATACGAACTGACTTCATTCGACGCTGAAATTCCCATGTCTGACTGCTGTCTGCTGTTAGTTTCTAGCACTAGACAAATGGCGCTGAAGGAAAACGACTAGACTCTGCGAAAGCATCACAAAGGTACATAAACCTGCAATGTGTTATGATTCATTTTTTCTCAAGCCTTTGCGCAAGAAACTCAGCGCAACAGTGAGTGATTTTATTGTGCAAAAGGAAGGCACCCTCTTGTACATATCTTACAAAGCAAAAGAAAGTAAGTTGCAGTTCACATGCATAAGATAAGCAGTTCAGGAATGAGTATCTCAAGTTTAGTTTAAATTCTCAACTTGTTCGTGGAAATCATTACATCTACTGACTTACTTAGATACTCAGACAGCCCGTCTTCAGTGGCGTGCGTGCATCAGCCCGAAAGTTTCCATCGATACCTGTCCCTCGCTTCAGACATCCACGATCTTCTTGGTTGACTCGGTGGTGCGTCCAAGGATTTCGAGTGCAAAAATCGTATTCAGCTATTTTTCAGCTGGTTCGCCCGTTCCACGTACACGTCTGGCCATCTCGTCGGTGGTCCTCCTCGAGGACGTTTGCCTTCGCGAGGAGTCCACTTAGATGTTCTTAGTGTCCATCTGTCGTCTGTTCTTCTCACGATGGGACCGGTCTATCGGTGTTTGACTTTTGCAACGTATTTCGCTGGGTCACGAAGACGGGACATTCTTTCTCAAATCCGTACTGCGAAATCCGACTAGATGTTGCTTGCGTCGGGCTATCTTCAGAAGACTGCGCGGACAGTGTCGGCCCAAGTCTCAGCTGCGTTACAGCGC